CTTCCAAAATGCTAATATTACAGATGTGAGCCACTATGGCTGACCCTTACAAGTTCACCTTTTAATTATAGCCATCCTCATGGTATGATGTGGTATCTTATTGTGGTTTAGACCCATGTTTCTCTTGTGAGTAATGATGTTGAGTATATTTTCATGTGCTTATTGATCATTTGTATATCTTCTTTGGGAAAATTTCTATTCAGATCCTTTGCCCATTTTAAAATATGATTTTTTTCATTTTCTTATTCAGTTGTAGGAGGTGTTTATATATTTTAGATAAAAATCCCTTATCAGGTATATGATTTGTAAATACTTTCTCCCATTCTGTGGGTTGTCTTTTCAGTTGCCCTAGGGTGCCATTTGGTATTCAGAACTTTAAAATTTTGAAGAAGTCCAATGTATCTATTTTCCTTTTCATTGCTCATACTTTTGGTGTCATCTCTAAGAATGTATTGCTAAAGCCAAGCTCATAATGATTTATCCCTATGTTTTCTATTAAGAGTTTATAGATTTAGCTCTTAATGTTTAGATCTTGGATCTGTTTTGTATTAATTTTTGTGTACGGCGTAAGGTAGATGTGCAACTATATTCTTTTGCAAGGGATATCCAGTTGTCCCAACACCACTGGTTGAAGAGACTGCTCTTTCCCCTCACTGAACCATCTTGGCACCCTTGTTGAAATCAATTGCCCATAGATTTATAGGTTTCTTTATGGCCTCTGTATTCCCTTCTATTGATATGTTTGGTCTTCTCTTGTCATTTGTCATTAGCTATTTGATTTGTATATATCTTGAATACTACAGGGACTCTATTATTATTATTACAGTCTTTTGTGACTAAGTGAATATTCATGGTAAAAAATTAAGACACAAAAGTGCCAAAAGTGAAAATCCTGCGCCAGCCGCTCCTGCCCCCACTTGCGGGACCTCGTCCTCTGAGTGCTCTGCTAAGCAGCTTTGTAGATTTCTCCTCAGAGCAGACCTGCACATGTGTCTTATGTGCATGCATGTGAGATCCAAATGCAATTCACACTTGTGTATATGTGGATATGCATATATTCAAATTCAGCAATATTTATATTTGTATGTCTGCATTTTATTTTTATAAAATTGAGATGTACAAAAAACTTCTATGACTTTTTAAACAATCAGCTGTATATCTCATGTGTCTTCCATGACAGTGTATATGTATTTTACCTTGTTCTTAATGATTCCATAAAATTCCATAGGATGTATATGCCAAGATTTCCTCAATCAGTTCCCTATCTTTAGATGTTTATGTGGTTTCCTTTTCTTTTTTCCCTTTTTCCTCTGGTGTTGCAGTGAACATCCTTCCACATGCCTTTGTGTACATGGGGGAGTACTTTTCACAGTGAGATATCTGGAAGTGGAGTTGCTGATCGTGCCTTTTAAAGTAATTTTTAATGTCTTTCCCTCAGCTGTGCTTTATGATGCCTTGCACATACTAGGCACTTAATAAATATTTACTAAAGTGAACTCTTAAGGGTTTTTATCCTGGATTGATCCCCAGCTTGCTGTTTTATCTCAGTAAACTGTTTTATGACACCCTTAGGCCTATTTCACTTCCTCTAAAATGAATGAGAGTTTTGGTTCTCTAGTCTTCATTAGGGGAACTGAGGTGAAATGAGTCAAGCCGTATTTTGATTATCTACTGTATGTGTGGCACTGGAGGTGTACAGAGATGAGTGAGTTGCAGCCTTAGGCCTCAAGGTATTTAAAAACCATCAGGGTAGGCAGGCGGAAGGTGTAGTGCTTCTCCGAGAAGCACACGTGTTGTTGGGGATGCACAGAAGGGAAGAAGTATTACTGGCACACCTCGGAGGTGGTGCAGGCATGGCTCCAGATACCACAGTACAGCCGATGTCAAAATAAAGCAAATCATGAACTTTTTGGTTTTCTAGTGTATATAAGAGTTGCATTTACACTATACTGTAGTGTCAGGTGTACACTAGCATTATGTCTAAAAAGTATATATACCTTAATTAAAAATGCTTTATTGCCAAAATATGCTAATGATCATCTGAGCCTTTAGTGAGTCATGAATTTTTTGATGGTCGAGGGGGGTCTTGCCTCCGTGTTGATGGCTGCTGATGGATCAGGATGGTGGTCGCTGATGGTTGGGTTGGCAGTGGCAGTTTTATAAAATAAGACAATGAAGTTTGCCACATCGTTCAACTTTTCCTTTCACAAAAGATTTCTCTGTAGCATATGATGCTATTTGATAGTATTTAACCCACTGTAGAACTTCTTTCAAAATCAGTCAGTTTTCTAAAAGCCTGCTGCTGCTTTGTCAACTAAGTTTATGATTCTATTCCAAATCCTTTGTTGCCATTTCTGCAGTGTTCACAGCATCTTCACCGGTAGATGCCATCTCAAGAAACCACTTTCTTTCCTCATCCATAAGAAGCAACTCCTCATCTGTTCAAATTTGATCATGAGACTATAGCAATTCAGTCACATCCTTAGGCTCCACTTCTAATTCTAGTTTTCTTGCTATTTCTACAACATCTGCAGTGACTTCGCCATTGAAATATTGAACCCTTCACAGTCATCCATGAGGGTTGGAATCTACTTTTAAGCTCCTATTAATATTGATTTTTTTGATCTCCTCCCATGAATCATGAATGTTCTTAATGGCATCAGAATGGTTAGTCCTTTCCTGAGAGTTCTCAATTTACTTTTCCCTGGTCCATCAGAGGAGTTACTATTTATGGTAGCTCTAAGCTTATGAAATGAATTTCTTAAATATTAAGACTTCAAAGTCAAAATTAGTCCTTGATCCATGAGCTACGGAATGAATGCAGTGTTAGGAGACATGAAAACAACATTCATCTTGTACATGTCCATCAGAGCTTTTGGGTAACCAGATTCATTGTCAATGAGCAGTAATATTTTGACTGGATTCTTTTTTCCTGAGCAGGTCTCAACAGTGGGCTTACAGTATTTGGTAAAACATGTTGTAAACAGATGTTCTGTCTGTGTTGTTCCATTTCTAGAGCACTGTCAGAGTAGATTGAATATCATTCTTAAAGGCCCTAGAGTTTTCATAATGATAAATGAGTGTTGGCTTCCATTTAAAGTCACCAGCTGCATTGGCCCCTAAAAAGAGAGTCAGCCTGTCCTTTGAAGGTTCGAAGCCAGGCATCTATTTCTTCTCTTTATGAAAGTCCTGGATGGCATCTTCTCCCAGTAGAAGATTGTTTTGTCTGCACTGAAAATCTGCTGTTTAGTTTTGCCACCTTCATCAATGATCTTACCTAGATCTTCTGGATAACTTGCTACAGGTTCTCCAACAGCACTTGTTGCTTTACCTTACACTTTTATGTTATGTTATGCCCATAACATAAAAGTATTCTTGGGCCGGGCGCAGTGGCTCAAGCCTGTAATCCCAGCACTTTGGGAGGCCGAGGCGGGTGGATCACGAGGTCAAGAGATCAAGACCATCCCGGTCAACATGGTGAAACCCCGTCTCTACTAAAAATACAAAAAATTAGC